TTAACAATCATCTTGTTTCTAAGTAAGATTACCTATTTAGTCAATTGTTTAGGTAGGGTTACCTAATGATCTTTTTCGAGACGGGGTTGCCTAATAATCTTCTCATTTTCAAGTAAGGTTGCCTAATTTAGTTCATCACTTTAGGCAAGGTTGCTTAGGGATCATTTCTCATTTTTTTAGATAAGGTTTTCTAACTTAGTTTATTGCTTAGGTAGGATTGCCTAGCAATCATCTCTCATTTTAGGCGGGTTTGCCCACACGGATCATCATTTCGGGCGAGTTGCCTAATGATCATTGTATATCTATTTTTTTGAGAGAGGATGCCTTAATTAACTTGGCCATGTGCTGTATATTTATTTTTTTAAGACAACCCGCAACAACTTGGCCATATACTGCATATTTACTTTTCCAAGATAGGCCACCTTAATCGACTTGGCCATGTATCGCATATTTATTTTTTAGGACAAGTCACCTTAGTCGATAAGATTTTTATACTATATTTAATTTTCTAAACATGTTGCCCTTGACGACAAGGTTATCGCATCGCATTTCAATTCCATAAAACAATCCATTCTTGCCATATAATTTGTTCCTTTACAAGCTCACTATACAAACATATTTTGAAGTTTGCACTTCAGCTAAGATTTGCATCGTAAGCATTGTAAAGAGCGGACAAGTCTCATAACCTAATTTTAGACTCTAAAAAAATTAATTAGTTTTAATTCCTCAATTATTTTTAGAATTATTATCCTAATTAAATAAAATTTAAAAAAGAGAGAAAATAAAGAAAAAACCAAAACTAAACTGAAATTAATGGATTGCTAAGAACTAGTGATCAAAATAAATTTTGTTGAAAAAACCCCTAAAACCTACTTACAAAAACCCACCTTTTTGCATTTTTTTAAGGGAGGGGCTATTGTTCATTTCTTATCTCTCTGAAAGGAGTTTCCTCTCTCCTTGTAAATAAATAGAAGAAGAAGAAGAAGAAGAAGAAGAAGAATAAGCTATTCTTCTCACCTTTACCTAAAAACCCATAAGACAACTTCCATATTCTAGTTCCCCAAACTCTATTCCCTACACAATCACAAGCGAGTAGCCCCAGCAGCAACCCCTCATACCTACTAGCAACAACTCCATTTCCAGCAACTTATTCTCCATCACCTAAAAAAAAATAGAAAGGAACCGGAGGCAAGGAAGGTAGGGAAGGTATAAAACTTTGTTTAGGTTTAATTTTTTTTATAAAAAAATAGAAAGGAAAGAAAGCTAGATTTGTTCAATCCATAAGCAAGGTTGGACAAGTCTAGCCAAGGGCTGGAGAAGCCTAACAAAAGGCTAGATTGTCTAGCCCATTTGTCCAATCCTGGTTGGATAAGTTTGCTAGAAAAAATCTAGTAAAGGGCTAGACGAGCCTAGCTTGTGACAAAGGGCTAGGTTGTCTAGCTCGTTTATCCGACCAAGGGGTGGACAAGTCTAGTCAAGGGTTGGACTGTTCAGCTTGTTTATCCAAGCAAGGGCTAGAAGGTCCAACCCTTTTGTCCACGGCCCATCCTAAAAAAGGCCTAATATTTTTTAGTTGTAATTCTAATTTTTGTTTATTTTGTCTTACATAATTTGCCTTGAATGTTAATTATGCATACTTATTTTCTATTTAAATTAGATTTTAATATCTTATTTTTTTTAAGAGTTCTATTTAGTTAATTTTACTTAATTTTAATTTTAGGATTTTTATTTTCACGAGTTAGTTTAGACAACTAAGTGATAAGTGAATTGTCGAGTCTTCTAATTTTTAGGGATCGATGATAATTCTCTATTGTCAATATATATATATATATATATATATAATGATAGACAAAAGATTGCATACTTTAATTTAAATTTTTTGGTTTCTATAATTATTTTAGATAATCAAATGGGGGACGAATTATCGAGTCTCCTAATTTTTAGAAACCGATGACGATTTCTTATCTAATCATAAGCCATCAACATTTAACAATCAGAATATTCTCCGACACACTCGATTGTGTCGAGACTTAAAGTGGATCCAATGTTTGAACCTATGCGTCACTCGATGAAGGGGATCGACAATCATTTCAATACGATGTCACGTCGTAAAATAAAAAACTTAATTTAACTTGGAAATTGGAGTTCAATTTAGAAATAATTTGACATAAAATAAAATGCTTTGGGAGATAAATTTAATATTAAACTAGATGCGATACCTTTCTTAGAAAAGGACGTCTTTGAATGATTGACATCTTTCTAAGACTTAACCAACTCCTTACTCGAGAATCTCTACACTAGTGCTTTTTTTTATTCCTAGTTCCTTTAGTATTAGGTGGCGACTCCAAACTTAATAATAACTTGTATCCCTAGAGTAACTCATAAATGAGATGCAAATCTCTAAAAACCTAAATAGATTTTTTTCAAGAGTCCCATTTAATGAAACGAGATACACAAAATTTCATGTGATTCTGTAAAATCTTACATACTTTACAAATTCAAAAGTAATTCTTTACTATATAAAAAAATAGTACAAATATATGATTGTATTTTTATATTCAAAATCCAATCCCAAACCTTCTTGTACATCCATTAAAAAAAACTGAACCTTTGTATTTTTTTACACACCCTAAAATCATGCATCTATTTACTTATTTATAATTTTCAAAATTGGCTTAGTTTATAAAGTTTAGAAGCACTTCTATAATATATATTTTTTTTTGGCTATTATGTACTTTTAAGGAATATAATTTACAAACTCAACCGATACGTATATCATTGATGTAAGTTTTAAACAACTATTCTTGTTTAAGAATATGATTACATGCATGTGTTTCTAACGAGATCATGAAGTATCAAAAACCATCGTGTTTTGCTACCCAAGCTGGTGATATGCTTGTCATTTTTAGGATATAAAGTTGTTTGATCAAGGTATTTGTCAATTTATTAATTTTTACTAGAGTTAAAAGTTGAAGGATCATGCATTCTATAGAGTTGCAAAATAAACAAAAAACAATTTTCATCATGAGCTTCCAAGATCATAATGTTAAATCAACTAATTATATATAAACATAAATCAGATTAAGATGAGTGATTACCTCTTGTAGTTTAGAAGCAATTTAAGCTAAATAGAACTATCTAAGTGTTCAGCCTCTATTGATTATCCACGTAGCTCAAACACCCACACAGAAGTAATAAAAAAATTTGTGTGCTGGCTCAAATTATTTTGTGCGGTGAATTTTCTCTAGAAATCTTTTTAGGGTAATTTGTGTCAACCTTAGTGAGAGAGAGAAATTATCCAATCTTTTTTTTTTTTTCCGATGTGTTATGTTGTCCCCCTCTCTCTCTCCCTCTCCCTTATTTATAGGGGCAACGACTTCTCCTTATAAGTCAATGAGATGTTGTTTGTGTGGGTTTTGTCTAACTTAATCCATATAAACTTTGAGCCTTATCCAATATTACTCTAGTTTATCATTCTAACAAAATATCTTATAGGCTTTTAAATTATAGCTATTGGCTCAAACTCTTTTAGCCTAATTAATTACTAATTAATTTGGACCATCCAAATAAATTGGATCAAGTATTTTAGTGAGGCTCATATTTAGAATCAATTTCTCAAATTACCCTCAAACCTAAATTAGGAAACTAATTTTTTTAGGTAGATTTTCAAATTAGGAAACTAATTTCTAAAATAGGAAATTGACTTTCCAAAATAAAAAAAAATTATAAAATAGGAAACTTTTCAAAACATAAAACTTTTTCCAATAACCTTTGCTTCTCTTTTATCGTGTGAATGTTTAAACTTATGCATATGACTCGGTAGGCTCCTACATATGTTGGTAATGTATGAAGAAGATAAAAGACACATCTTTTATCTCTTAATACATAAATCAAGATTGGCTTCTAGCAAAGCATCATGAGTACTCAATTCTCTGAAGTATTAATTAATCTGCAATTACCTTTCATGAGAATGGTTTTCATATAATTTAGTCCTTATGCCAATTTATCATAATGTAATTTTGAACTTGATTTGTAATCTGTTCGATTATGCTCACATAAGTTTTCTACGATCTTCAAATGTCTTAGCTCATAAGTAAACTAATTATACTCTATTGGTATACTTCCACTCGTGGCCATAGATTCCTTAAGCGAGACTTTCATCGAAATGCAATGTGACAACTCCTTTAGCATATAAGGAATGACATGTTCTATCTTAGTCATCCACATATTTTCATTAGATTCCTAACACATCCAACGAATCGTCCACATGCAACTCTTTACTAAGCCCATCGAAACGAATATTAAAGTACACTAATCCTCTAATGAGATAATCGTGATGACTTTAAGTCAAAAGACCAGTTGTACTCATTCGTATGAGATTCCCATTGATCGAACCACATGTTTTCTCATGGCGAGTCACGTCTAGTGATATATGTTTTCTAACATTATTCACATAAATGTCTATTTTAGCATCACCATGTTAGTAGGTATAAAATCTTTTACTACTATATAATAGCAAGAGCATAACAGTGCTCACAAGTCTTAATGCATGTTGTCAATATCCAATCTTGATAATTCTATGACTTATGACATTTAATTATATCATTTAAATATATTAATATCTGTTTTACATCAATTGATCAATCATTAATATAATGCATATCATATGAACTTTTACCTAATTATATCAAATTGTAAATAACAAAAATTAATAGAAAGACTTCTTTTATTAATATAAAAGATATAATAATATAATAAATCAAACCAATCAAATAGATTGGATCTTGACACATACACTAATAAAAATTTGGATTCATATTTCCTACTTTTGAAGGTAAGTACAATCCGAGTACGTTCTTTGAATCTAAATATAGAGTAACATAGACATTCGATTTAATCCGTACAAGAAAAGGGGAAAATATTTTCAAGGAGGAAAAAAATCAAATAAATGCTGAATTTTGGGTTGGCTGTGTTATTGATAATTCACAAAGTTGTATTCATCAAAAACTGTTCTCCATAAACTTTACAAATTCATTAAAATCTAATCTTTCATCTCCATTTTTATCAAAGGTTCTGATAATCTTTCTGCAGTTCTCCAACTCAAGTCCTTCCTTCAATCCCAATTGTTGGAAAACTTTCTGCAACTCACTCGCTACAATAAAACCATCACCGTTGTGGTCAAAAACATCGAAAGTTTCCTTTATTTCCTCCAAGCTTGGCTCCTTCTCATCAAACAGCTGTGAAAGGTCATCGGAATCCATCCACTCCTTAAGTTCCTCACTTTCTCTGCTGCAAAAAAGTCCTAAGTTCGCCATCACCATCTCCACATCTTCTCTGCAGATATTCCTTTCGTCTCTCTTGTTGTCAAAGCAAGACTCCTGGGATAGCTTTGATGTCTCAGAATCTTGATTTCCATCATCATCGTCCCAAAGCTCTGAGTTGACAAGCCTTAGTTGGGTTTGGAGAAAGAACCAAAATCTTGATAAAAACTTTTGAAAGTTATTGAACCTACTAGATACCAAAGCAGATAAGACAAAACCAACCATTTTAAACAATAGAGAAACGGATTGGTTGCCGTTTGATGATGCTTTTTGCACTGTGATTAAGCTGGCTAAATGGCAAGCTTCCATTGATCGAGTAATATATTGCTGCAAGAAATGAAAAGTAGAAGGCTGATTCTCTTCCAAGGAAAAGGAAATAATGAATGATTTGCTTTGAGGAATGGAGAGAAGGGTTCTTCGTTTGTTTATTTATATAAATGAATGATTTGCTTTGAGGAATGCAGAGAAGAGTTCTTCGTTTGTTTATTTATATAGGCTAAACATAGTCATAGAGGCGGCATCTGAATGTATCGAAGAGTCAGCTTTCAAAGGAGGTGGAGCGAAGCTGCTTGTCTGTTGCCATGGCAGCAAGGAGGTAGAAAAAACACGAGGAAATGGTCATAAAGGTCCTATACTTGTAGGGAAGTTTCTCTGCTCCTGCACCGATAAGAAAGGAAAATTTGGGTAGGCACGTTTTATAAGAAAAGTCTGGTTTTAATTGTCTGTTTCTATGAAAGATCTGAATGACTATCTAGGAATTTTCTTCTCGTTCCTCCACCCTTGTTGACTAATAATTTTTTTTAAGTAAATTATTCTTTAGTCTCTGTTTATTTAGAAAAATAATAAGTTAGTACATCTAGTTTAAATAACACAATATATTATCCCTATATCGTTATCTTCATTTATAACTTAAATTTTTCTGTTAATTGCCTATTTCGACTATATATTAATTGAAAGATAACTAGGGATAGTTTGATTATGCTATAAAAATTGACGGAGCTTTTAAATACTTGACTTTCATAAACAGTCAAGGGACTAAGTTATTGTTTTTAAAACCGGAGGGACTAAAATAAATTATTATTTAATCAAAAGCACTTGCAGTTTCTTAGAAGTAAGGAATAGGGGTTGGCTGTCCATTCTTTCTTTACAATTTCCATCCAGTGATTATGATACGAAATGAACTTTTGTAACAAGCTAAAGTGGTCAATTCGCGTCACCTAATAGAAACCGTTCACCTAAAAATTTCCTTAGCAAATTCTAGGAAATTCTTGTTTAGACTTGGAAAAACAATCTAGTCTACTCTTCTAAATATTTCCATCCTTTCGGGCACGGTGGTTCCAACTTGATAGGAGGGGACTTAGGAACATCATGCGCTATAGGATCCATGGGAAAAACTCAGGTCAAGTGTACTTGCTTCCCCTTGTTGGTTAGAAAGACTGGAGAAAAAGGAAACAAGTTTTCCATGGTTTCCAAACATTTTCCCTTGGAATTACGCCGAAACTGATTCCTATTAGTTCCTCCTTTTTTTTTTCTTTTTTTTTTTTTTTTGGCGTTCAGAAATTGAGGTTAACTATTGTTGCTATTAGTGAAGCTAGCAACCCCATTGGTCCTATAAGTGTAAAAATGTCAACAATTTAGTTTTGTTGAAGCAGTTTAATGTAACCAAAATATTAAATAGCAATTGGACTTTAAGGTAACACATTTTTTTTTTTCCCGGCTATGTGAACACCATAAGATACGCAAATATGTCCCAGTTTGATGGTAACAGTAGAGGTGTGACCGGGCCCACATTTTTATGGACTGTGCTAGCACGACCCATATTCAACAATAACTGTGTCGCGTGAAGCACGCCAATTCCCATGGGCCTAGGGAGATTGCAGCACGAACGGTAGCCCAGCATGACACGACACTTGGGGATCGTATGTTTTGTATAAAATATTTTTCAACGTAAGTATAACTTATTTCATGATGTTAGACAAATGCTAACATAACAAATGTGATGGTGATAAAATATTGGTGAAATAATGGTGATGGCTGTCTTAGCTGATGGTAGTGATAATAGTAACGACAATGTAATATTAATAACAATAGTAAAATGATAGTGTCGATAGTAAAATGGTTAAAATAGTTAGGTGATTATAAGATCGATTGCTTTACATAAAATCTTTGCAGAATTTTATGAGTCAAGAATATTTTTCTCTAAATAAACTAAAGTATTTAAATCATAAAAATCCTATAAAAATTCAAATAATCATCATTTTTCATTTGTGTCTACACTGGAATTCATGAGGTCAAATGTAACAATGGGATCCACATCATATAAATATTTAACAAAAATCAATAAAACCTTTCATTTCAGTTATTAATGGATTTTTTTTTATATAAAGTAAAAAATTTGAAAACAAAAGTGTTGGATTTGCTACATTCTCATATGGGATTCAAAACCCATGTAAATAAGGAAAAAAAATACAAAAAGGGCCCAAAATAGGGGGAAAAAAAAAGGGAAATTGTTGACATTATAAAAGGTCACCACATGACATATTTGTGCATTAAAAAAAAAGAAGATAGGAATCAAAAGGCTGTAGCTGCAGACAACGAACAACAAAAGAAAAGGAAGTGAATTTTTCATGTAAGAGAGAGAGATAAAATTGCTCCTCATCTTAATTATCTTGATTGTACGGTAATTTCAAACGTAATTGAGATGAAATTTTGACGAGTTCTTCAACTTGAACATATTGATTGTTATAAAAAAATTTCAACTTTTTGTATTTTATAAAACCTTATTTAGAGAGATTTAACTTTTTTTCTTTGTTGTTATTGTTGGAATTCATCTTTCTAATGATGAATTTGATGCTTTGATGTGTATCCTCTAATTGAGCCTAGATAAATTTTGTGTATTCTATTATTTGATATAGTGGAAGAGCTTAAGTAGACTCCGGTCTCATAATTTTTCTCCATATTGAGGTTTCCATATAAAATTTATTTGTTGATTTTGTTTGTGTGTTTATTTATTCTGTTTTGATTATTATTAATTGGTTTATCCTAATTTTAATTACAAAAAAAAAAAAAAATTGAGATATGTGGTTTGTACATGTGCCTTTTCCAAATAGAGTGGTATCGGAGACCGATTGTGTATATTGATTTTTCTTGTGTAGTTAAAATGGAGAAAGAAGATTCGAATATGATAAAGCTCACTTTCTCTAATTATCTTCTATAAAAGACATTAACAGAGGATTGTTTTTAATATAATAATTTTTCTTTAGTGCTTGGAGTGTAAATGAAAGAAGCATACCGATATAAAATTGGCTAAATGGAAGTTGGTCAATAAAAAAGCTACAATTGTTGTCGGAAAATGGATATCTTCTAAATCAATCAACCATATTTCTCAAGAACATGACCGCTAGAAAATTTAGAAGTTCTTTGAAAGAAAATTTTGCCAAGAAAAAGGCACAAATAAGGCTTTCATGATCGGAGATCTTTTGAACTTGAAGTAAAAAGATAGTGAAGATTATTCGTTGAACTTAAATGACTTTCAAAAGTTCCCGAATCGAGTTGACATTGATGAATTTTGAGTTAGCCAATGAGATACAAGCACTAATTCTACCGAGTTCATTGTCGGATAGTTCGAAGACTTTGATGGTGTCACATAGTAATTCTCACCTAAATGAGAATATCACTTTAAAGTAGTGAATGAAAATATTCTTAATAAAGAGAAAATTAGAAAAGGATCAAACAATTTAGAGTCCTATGTACTTGTTATGGAAAATTAGAGGAGAAGCTAGAGTAGATTTTTTCATGATAAGTAGTGTAACACTCTAAACCTTAAAAAATTTTAAGCACTTATATATTTGTGTGAATAATTTATTTTAGTGTATGAATATTTATTTAAGTATGTGATATTGATATTTTATATTAGCATGAAAAATTGTGTTTGTGCATGTATTAATGTTATGCATTATGATTGAATTATTAATTGTTTAAGTGTGCAAGTTTAAATCATTTAACACAAAAAGTATATAGATGACATAAGGACTTAATTGAAATAATTACAAATTTATGAACCAAAGTGTAAGGAATTGATTGAATAAAATAATAAAGTTAAGTGACTAAGTTGTAAAGTGAACCAACTTAAGAGACTTAAAGGATTCAGCTATGATAGGATGAATTATGGATGAGTTATGCATGATTTAACATCAAAATAAAACATTAATCATGTACGTAAATGTTAGATTCGGGAGAGTTCATGAAAGTTACATGAAAGACTTAGGAAGTTGGTTGGAAATTTCATGTCAAATGAAGAAAAATTACATGGAAGATACAAGATAAAGTAAGAAATTACAAGGAAATAGAATAGAAGTTACAAGATATTAACTTAGGAAATTACATGGAATTATTTAGGAAATTTCATGGAAGTTACAAGTGTGAACTTAGGATGTTTCATGGAAAGTACCTAGAATTAATTAGGTTAAGCAATAAAATATGACTATCTAAATGGCGACCTAAGTGGCAAAAAAATCCATCCATTCACCTAGATTAATTTGGCCAAGACAAAGAAAAAGGGTAGAAAAATATCCAAGCTAACTAAATGACATTCTAACCTTAATAAACATAGAATAATCTAGATAAAGATCTCGGCTTAAATAATTTATCCATGTGATAATTTTATAAGCTTCCTTGCAAGATGAATTCAGCCAAGAAAGGCGACAGATAAGGAAGAAAGTTCTAGCCTAAAGAAATATCAAGCAAGGAAATTTCTAGAAAGCTTACCTAAATTAATGCAAGCAAAATCCACGCTTCCATGAAGCTTCATTAGGTCAAGAAATTAGCTATAAATAAGGAAATGATTAACCAAGCTAAGTTTGATGAAAATTAGGCAAATTCAATGCTAAAAAACTATAAGCAAAACTAATTTGGTAAATGATAATCTAAGGTGGTCGAAAGTTTGAGAGAAGGAGAAGTTGGCTAAAAGGTGAAGGAAAGGATTGAGCTAGCCTTGGTCAAAACTTAACAAGGAAAAAGGTGGGATTTTGGTGAGTGATTCAAAAGGTTTCAACACTAACCAAACTCCATGTAATTGTAATCAACTCAAGCTGCATCACAAGGCATATGAATTGATTGATTTATTATGTGTATTTGCTTGACTAATGTTTGATCATGTTTGATTACTTAATTGTTGGTTGAATTGATCATTGATCTTTGATTAAGTCTGTCTTAGTTAATGATTGATCGTGATAGATCATGAGTTTAATTAATTATTAGAAGATGAGTTTAGGTTAAAATATGATTTAGAAGTCTTTAAGCTATTGAAT